GCTTTTCAGACCGATGAGCTTTGTAAAAATCGACACGTTTCAGAAAGGCGGGGCATAGAGGAGAAACAATAATGTACAGTATGTGGAAAATAATGTGTTTTTTGAACCTTAAACCACATAAACACATTTCATTACACCAAATACACTAAATAATGTTCTTTTTAGCAACATCCTATGACCCCTTTAATAATATAATATTTTTTATAATGATATTTAATATCATTCATTCATGACCTACACTTGTTGTCTGTTGCCTTTCCAACCTGTTCGCTTCCAAACAACACAAGAGAGACGCCTTTTTAATTTACAGGTTAAGTGTGTGGGATGAAATCAACGTTTCTAGTGGCTTAATGATAGTATTAAACTACTAAATATAACAACTATAATACTACATATTGGGGCAAATATTTGCTAGTCCTTATAATGTATAATTTCACTAGTAGATTACATTTAAATAAATACAGTTTAAATTGATTTTTTTTTATATTTTGAGAGAATGCAATCACTGATAATTCTCTCTCTATATATATATATATAAACAACAGACAATGATGTAACTGTTCAACTGTAAAAAAGGTGAAATCATAATTTACAACATTTAAAATGTAAAGCATATAATCAGTGTCAATAAATACTGTATATACTGCACTGATGCTATTATTCTGTATTTTCAGAAAAGCAGAACAAGTCCCACTAAATCCTTGCGGGACTGTTGCATTGTAAAAGATATAGTACAAGCCGGACTGCAGTGACTATACAACAACTCACACTGTACAGTTGCAATGTGACCGTCAAAACAATTCAAATGAGACTGGTGAAAAGTCACTGAGCAGCACTCACATCTTTATTGCCATTTGTTGATGGATCATAATGACCATGGCAGTACCTGAGGAAGATCAGAACACAGTCTTAACACTACAGGAGAAAAGGCCAAAGTGTATAAGTGATGGTGTTTAAAGTCAGCTTCCCTTTCATGGAACTGTCAACATGAAATATTCAACAAGAAAAATAAACTTATTTTTGGGGGAATTGGTAGGTGGAATTAATTTAAAAAGACTTGAATGAGAGTTTGCAGTGGATTGCAGAGGAGGACTTTTGAAGAAGCTTTTTGACAGAACCATGGAGGCTGATGGTAAAGTTAAAAGCTATTGGTTAACATACACAATAGTGCAGCAACTTTTATAGTAGATTACAAAAGACAAGCATTTTTCTTTCTGAATAATGTGCACTGATGAATAAGGACAGGAATGTGTATTAAAGGGTTAGTTCACCCAAAAATTAAAATGAGCTTGTGTTTTACTCACCCTCGAGGCATCCTAGGTGTATATGACTTTCTTCTTTCAGACGAATCCAGTCGGAGTTATATTAAAAATTGTCCTGGCTATTCCAAGCTCTATCATTGCAGTGGGTGAGTGTTTCTGTTGAACAGTCTACAAGACGTCAAATAAAGTGCGCGCACCCATAATAAAATGTGCCTCACACGGCTCTGGGGGGCGAATAAAGGCCTCCTGTAGCGAATCCATGCGTTTTTGTTCGTCACGCGCGCTCCTCTGAGATATGCTAGTCTCTCGAGTTTGTTTACAGGAGCAAAGGAAGCAAAGTTTCCTTACTTTAGCAAAGGAAAACCAGTCTCCTCTTGGCTTATATCGAAATCCTCCTACATTTTTCTTTACAAATCCTCAGTTTGTACTTCTAATTCGTGACCGGCGTTTTGTTTTGTTCTCTCTCCGCGTTCGTCACTAATCACGCAACACCGAGGTCTTACGTCATCCGCCAGAACGGCTTCCGTGTACCACAGATAGATGAAGTGAGAGAGAAGTGTTTATTACGTTTGAAATATGGATATTTTTCTGACAAAAACGCATGGATTCGCTACAGGATGCCTATATTCATGCCCCGGAGCCGTGTGAGGCATGTTTATTATGGATGCACGCACTTTATTTAACGTGTTTCGGACTGTTGAACAGAAACACCCGTCCACTACAATGATAGAGCTTAGAAGTGGCAGGACAATTTTTAATATAACTCCGATTGGATTCGTCAAAGTCATATACACCTAGGATGCCTCGAGGGTGAGTAAAACACAGGCTAATTTTCCATTTTAATTTCATGTTGTATTTGTGATGCAGAAGAGTGCTAGGGGTCAGTGCAGAGCGGTACTCACTCTTCAGCCATACGCGTGTCTTTGAGAATGTGAACGTAGATGAAAAGAGCCTGCTCATGTTTCCCCATACGACCCAGGAGAAGAGCCCTCTCCTCCAACAGACCTGAGAGAACCAGAGAGAGGAAAGGGAGGAAGCAACACAAGAACAGCTTTTGTCATCCAGTTTTATTTCTAGATTTTCTATTGTATGCCTCTGACCTGTACACTCACCATCAAATGGGAAATCACTGACGAGTCGCTCTGGCTCATAGCTGCTGGACACTTCCAGAAACGACAGAAGCTTGTTCCTGTACTCTCCCAGCTCTCCCGCCTCCTTTCCTGCAGCTACAGCTGGAACACCTAGACACAGTCAACACAGCGCACTTGGCCTTTAATTCATCTAGACGGCAAGTCTTCGTTTTAGACATGTTTATGGATACTCCGCGTCACAATTTTTTTGTTATCATTATTCTATTCCTTCTTTTTGTAAAATCCTGTCTAGCCCACACCCACTCAATTTTTACACAAATTATGACTCTCTTTCAGATGTGCCGTAATTTCCATCAGAAAAAACAATCGTGTTGCTAATAAAGGGTTTATTCAAAACGTATAGTACTAGTGAAGAGCACTGCTATAAGTACCACAAACTCTCAGAAAATATTATTTGTTTACTTTCCTTAAGAATTAAATGAATGTTTTGGTGGCTTAATTAAAGTATGATAATAAATAGTTATTTTATGAAAATTTTATTCTGAATATAAGTGGGTAGGTAGAAGATATTTTGATGGCAAGAGCTGTGTTATACATTTTCTACTAGTTACAAAGTAGAAACACAATAAAATAAAGCCAATCAAAATGTACAATGGTGTCTCTGCAGTTAACGTCAACTAGCTTGCTTTTTATGAAAAATCAAAACATTCACATAAATACATAACATTTACTAATGAGAATATAACCATAAAAAATGACGTGCTGGGGAAAAACACATGCCAAGTACTTTAAAAACAGCACAATCAATCCGTCAAAGCACATGACGCATACAATTATGCTTCTTTGAATTATTGAATATATAAGTGTTTTTTGGAGATCTTGGGTTTCCACTGTAGCTCATGTTTTTTTCACTCCATACTACTATGAAGTGATGTCACAGCATATAAATTACCTAATGCGAAAAATTACTTTTATTATTTTATAATTTGCATGTTTCTTAATAACTACACAATATGAAGCACTTCTATCTGAGAATGAAAAATTATTGTACCAAATATCATCCTAAAAAAGACACGAACTTTATCTCAAATTTAGTCAACAGCAGTCACCAGAGATTATGCTGCAGTGGTCATTATTTTTGTATAGTTTCAGCTGCTGCAGACAGACTGAATTTCACTTCTATTACTTCAGTACATATTGTGCTATTGTTTCCAGCAGAACCGCTCGATCAGCTCTCATAAAACAGTGTGAGTGAGTGACAGCTGCGTGTCTGACCTTCAGGCAGTGAGTTGAGGTACACTTTCATGAGGCCTTGCACCTTCTCCAGGTAGAGCTGGATCAGAACATTGTGGAACTCGGGCCGTGTCTCGTCCCACAGGTGAATGATGTGCTCCAGGTACGGGATGGCCAGCTCCTGGAAGCCCTCCTTCAGGAAGTTCAACACCTTATCCCTGGGCAGAGTCTCCACCTCCGTCAGGTCCTCAGTGAAGATCTGAAAGTAGAAAAAAATTCATCAAACTCAAGCGTTTCAAAATGACCACAGAGTACATGGGTCAAAGACGAAAAAGGGCTCAAGCATAAAAACAATACTGCTTTAAATTGTTGTTTTTCAAAAAAAAAAAAATTTTTTTTTTAAAGTTTTCCGTTTCATGTAATTGTATTTTTGTTTTTGTTTTTCTGAGCAAAAAATAAATATCATACATTTCCCCCTGATTTACAGAAGACACCCACTAAAATGTCATTCAGTGTAACAATCTTGTCAGGCATATTTACAACAAAAATCAATATATGACATATTAAAAAAACTAATTACTTTCACCCCAAATACTAATTAGTTGTTATTTTACATTTTTGTACATTTTGCCACTATCCTAGGTTTTGCCCATTTGTCAGTAAGAATTTTTTACTCATTTAAAACCCAATAAAATTTAATATGCTCACTTATTCTTTTATATATTTTAAGTGTTACACTGAATGACAATGGAACATTATTATTTCAACCAAATTTTGACATTTTATTCTTCAAAAACTTATTTGAAACCTTAAATGTAGACACTTTACTTGCATTTAATGTGCTTTCTATGGACATAAAATCACTTTTGTAAATTTCTTTTGATGCAGACATCTTAACGTCTTTGACCCACATATAAATACAACCAGATCATGTTTATCTCACCTTTAGTCCATCCTCTGGACAAATCTTCAGAACCCACGGCGAAAACTCAAATATGATGCCCAGGTTCTCCACACCTGAAACACATCATATTGTTGATCTAGTCTGAAAGAACGAATATTACTTATCAATCATCCCAGTGTTACTAACACACAGAATCAGTCGGCTGGTTTCTATACTGTATTTGTGGGAAATGGATTTTAACGTTCAAAAGTGTTAAATGGAGATGAGAGTGCTACACTCTTATTGAAATTAGATTTTAATTAGATTTAAGAAAAAATAATACCATTATTATTATTACATTTTACATTACAAAAGTGAAATGACAAAACTCAATTTTACAAAAAATTACTGATTTTTGATTTCTATATTTTTAAACCATCCAACTTTTATGTTGATGGAAAACTGCAGGGAGCCTTTAAAGCTTTTCTTTTGTTCATCAGTGTTTTTCTTTACAAGTATGAGAAGATGGTTGGTGCATGTTGCATTCACAAATTTACTTTAATGCGACCCGAACTGATAGCAACTGATGCAAAGATGAGCTCATGTGGAGCAGCATTTGTTGAGACACAGCAGCACATAAAGATCTGCTCACGTGTAAATGAACACAGTGCCACGCTTCACTCTAAAACAACTATTTAATAATTGCACTAAGCCATATTTTGCCAATTTGCCACTAAGCTGATTTTGGTTTTATTTGGTATAATCAAGCAGCTCTAGGTGGGAATCTCCAAAAAATCCACTGAAATTTTGCAGCTGCGGTGGTCATGTGGGACTGCGAACATTAAGATTCTGGCTCACTTCTCGACCTTCAGGCAAAAGAGGGCATCCAAACACTCTAAGGATAGCTAAGTAAATACTAAGCTTCAATGTGCACAATCCTAACTACAGCACTTAACTTGTTTGTTAACTAAGTAGTATATGTGCAGTAAATGAGTGTGGTCGTCTTACCCAGTCTCTGAAGATACTGTACAGTCCTCTCATGCCCCTTCAGAGGAGAGTTGGCTTTGGTGGACTGATCCAGCAGAACCTGCAGAGCTGGACAATCACACTTCTGTAAGTCTACTGTCAATGCTGGCATACAAACAGAAATCTGTGTATATTCATGAAAGTGATGTTTATATAAATAAGTTTGTTTGGCTGCAGTGAGAGTTTTTTAGGCAGTGTGGATCCACATGGCCTGCTCCTCATCATCTCTTCTGTAAGGCATGACATCAACAAAACAGCCCAGGACATGATTAGAGCATCTCTGTAAACAAGAGCGGTTCTGAGCCCTCCAAATCATATCCAGATGCTTGAGGACACCCACAGAGATTACACTCCTAATGGAGATTACTGGAGGTCACATAAACATTCATATGACAATCTACTTTCTTCTCAGTAAGCGGAAGCTGAGAAGATTGAGCACACCTTTCTGATGAAGGCCTTTTTTCTCATAGAGGATGATGAGTTCGCTGTATTTGTGGGCTTTCTTCAGCACATACTCGCTCTCCTCTATGTGACAGTGGTTGTTCTCCAGCCGCAGGAGAGGCGACACTAAGGCTACATTGGTCTGTGGATTAAAAAAAAAACATTCTTAAAATCGAGATAAACTGGCTATAGTGATCTGCTATCATCGGTCTTCACTGTATTTTCAATTTCAGTTTCAATCAACAATGGCTGTTAATCAAGGCTCCATTTCAGTTAACATGCTGTCTGCACTTTGCAGAACAGAGCTACTGAGAACAATCGGAAGGCCTTACGTGGAGGTAACATTTCAGCAGAGTGGTGTCGATGATCTGAAGGAGTTTCTTGCGGCTCTTGATGGTGGGGGTCCCCTCCATGAGAGGGGAGGTGGTGAAGGGGTCCGAGTCATTCAGCTGCTTCACTAAATGACTGCGTTTCTATCACAAAAGATGCAGAGAAGACTGTAACAAGATGAAAAGAAGTTTAAAAACACTCCGTATGAAATTGATGAATCGTGAATACCTGTGTCAGGTAGTCTATGAGGGCCAGGTGGGCTTTCTCCAGCTCGGCTCCAGACATCACAGGCAGAGGGTTGGGGTAGTGCAGCTGTTTGCAGTAGTCAGAGGGGAGCAGGTCTGGATACAGTCCAATAACATGAGTGGGATCTATATAAGAGAAGAGCAAATCCTAAAGTCAATGGGGTTTTTTGACTGGGTTTTTGGTTAAATGTCTGAAATCAGGTATGTGGTGAACAAGCTCAGGATACTTTCACATTTTTCTACCATATAAAATATATCAGTTATACCAAGTTGCGATTGTTTTTTTTTTTTTTAAATGTTTTACTTGAAAAATGGGACTATAGAGGTTGTGGAACAGATAAACTCATCTACTCACTAATCACAGTCTCATTGTGTTTATAATGCCTTACTATTCTAACTCCAACTTTCAGTGAAGATGGTTTTTTAAATAAAGTTTGGAAGCTTATTGGTGGTGATGCTAAAGTCATGTATAGCCTGTTTGGCTTTTTACTTTTGGAGATTGTATTTAGGCTTCTAAATTCACAAAAGTTGTGTTCATTTGTGAAGATTATCACATGTAAGAATCATACATTTTTATTGGTCACGACACAAACTCAATTTAGAAGCCAATGCAAAAAAAATCCTATAGGGTTTTTGTTGAAGGAACCAGGGTTGGCCTACAAAAATACCTCATCACTGCAGAACTCTATTGTGCATTCATCTTTCTTTCCTGGTCCAATGGCACTCTCTAGTGGACTAAATTAAGCAACTCAGCCCCAGACAACAAGACCACAGACCATCTGATCTATAGTGCACACAAAAATGAAAAGAACTTTCCAAAACGCCAGTCTGATTGGTTGGTATTTAAACCAGTTGGTTGCCCACCAGAAAGTTTCTCTCAAATACTTGTGTTAATCAATGAAAAAATACAACTCAAATCAATTACTTATTTGGCAAGTTACTCAACACCCCCTCCCAAAAAGGCCTTAATTTAAGACTGAAGTATTTTAATTGCACATCCCATCCATTTGCACAGTTTTAACATAAAATAATAAGCTATTTAAATAAAACATGTGATGCATATTTGTCAATCATACATAAAGAAAAAGGTAAGATTTTTGCACTCAAAAATCTTGACAGTTTATTATTAGCTACATAAATCTATTTGATTTTATTTAATCATATTTTCAAAATGCATTTATTCAAATTGCTTAGAATTAATTTAGTTAAATAGTATGAGCATGTTTAAAATGTGGCTAGCTGTGGAACAAGCAATACCTAATTTTTTTTAAATGCATGAGATTGAAATAAATTGGATTTATTGATGTAAAACAGAATATTTTAAAGGTTTATATTACAGAAATCTTACATTTTATGTTAAAGCTGTGTAATCCAAACGTACTGAAATTTTATATGCATTTATGTCTTTATTTTTATTAAAAAAAAATGTGTGCAATGCATCACACACCGGACACGTCCGTCTTTCCGTACTTGTGGTGCATCATCACTGCTGTATGAACTCACCTGTGCCTAACTTTGCAAACACCTGCATGGAGTCGTCAAAGCGTTTCTGACAGAACAAGTTGAAGGCAAACAGGTTCTGAATGTGATGGATCTGTTGTCTCTTATCTGCATCTGAATCATCCTTCATTTTCTGAGGAAAGACGAGACAAAAACAAGCTCAGCATATGATAACACTGTGTACTTTGCATTTAGTATGTACTGGATGTGAAAAAGTTTCTCACCGCTAGCTGAAGTGCCAGTTCAAACTGTTTGTCCTGTAGCAGCTGTCGTATCTGGCTGGCTATAGAGATGGGCACCAGACGCCAAACAAAGTGATTGCTAGCGACATACACAACATTTGATCTGTGAAATTACAGAGGGAAAGAAAGAACAGAGTCAGATCACCTTTCACAGCAATTTAAGGAAAACATGCCTTAAACATTAGAGCAAAAATAACTAAAGTTGAGGTATGAGCAAATGTCATGAAACTGTCAAGATGATGAGCAAATAACTTTAATAAACATCATCTTCTCAAATAGGATGCATCTGCATTCTGCAGGTGTTTCAGTGGATTATAGGTAAATATCTGCTTCAGTGAACACAAGCGGGAACTAATTCAGACTTTTTGACCAACCCATGAAAAAAAACAGATTGATCGACAAATAGGACATTACTAGTTTTAAACAAATGTCAGAAAAAACAGGAAAACATGACTAATGAAATCGCTTCAATAGACAGGTCTCACCCAGCGGAGGTGATGAAGCGCGGTCTCTGCAGTTCTACGCTCTGCACCAGCAGTCTGGGCTCAAGCGTGCGGATCTCCACATAGCGTGGCAGCACTGCGATGATGTACGGTGGCTGGTGCTCTAATCAACAGACATGTGAAAATAGACTCCGAAATCAGTAGAATGGATTTAAGAATGGTAAAATGTGTTAGATAGTACCATACTCTCTAATTGCTAGCTGAAAGTTCAATAAATGAGAGGAAACATTTAAAAAGCAGCCATGCAAAGAGCAGAGGATTTGATTAATTTTGCATGTTGGGTGTTCTTAGTCTGTGGAAATCGGTAGGTTTTTCTCCTGAGTTCTGCAGACACAGAACAGCTCTTGCATTCATTCATTTCCATGACTCAGTTCGAATTCATTGTAATGACTCGATTTGTTTGTATAATCACTCAGAAAAGGTTTGTGGAAGTTTTCAGAATGTTTTAATGAAAATATATGTAGGTAAATATTGCTGTTTATTACACACAAGTAACTTTACATCATGATAACAATGTATATCACGACATGGTTATTTTTGCTGGAAACGAGGCTGTTAGATACCAAAACGTTAGATACCAGAGAAATTTCACAATTCTCCAAATTAATTTTGATACCAAATATTTATTTTTTCAGTTATTAAAAAGTAATGACGTTCAATTATTTGAGTATTGCTGCTATTATTATTATTATTATTATTAACAGTTTATCAGGTGAAAGAAATTACATTATGTTAGGTGTGTTTTCAATTTGTTTTTGTTGTGCTATGTACCGTAAGCTTGTGGATATCCGATTGTATATGACAGTGAAAGTAAAATTAGATGAGATTTTGAATATTTTTATTTTTTTTACTGATTATTTGATTAGGTTGCCAAAAGTTAAAGGAACACTCCACTATTTTTGAAAATAGGCTCATTTTCCAACTCCTCTAGAGTTAAACAGTTGAGTTTTACTGTTTTCGAATCACTACATTGTTTGGTGGAGGAATACTGTTTTTATTAATATCATTACACTTTATTTGCTCCGTTTTATTTTGTGAAACCTTACTACGTGTATGGAATAACCATTTTATAAAAGCTTCGCGTCGTGCCTAACAACGCCCTTAGCTTTTATAAATTCACTGTAAACCACGGCTTCTTGGGGCTTATTGATTTATTTATTTATTATAACACAAATGTGAATTACAAACTAAAAATAGCCATGTTTATTTTCAAGATGGTAACTGGCCACCAGTATCCTTGATGATCTGATAAGTCGTTCACATTGTTTTAACAGTGACTGAACTCGTGATCAAACGTGTTTGGTAAGTTGCTAATGAGTACCTGAGAAACATGTTTGTTAAGACTGACATCACACATACCCATTGCAACAGGAATGTCCGTCCAGTTAAGGGCACATTTCTGAGTGCAGACGCCTTCTTCGTTCAAAACAACCGTGAGGTCATCCTGACCCACTGCGACCTTCCCATCAGCCAACGGGGCCACCAATGGTTCCAGCTGTTTCCCTGTGGGGAACAGTTCTTTGACTGAGCCACGTCCGTCCATCTAAAGAGAAAAGTCACATGACTGACCCCAAAAAAACATATGTGTATGAACATCCATATTGTGATACAGTTAGCTGCAGAATTTGAGAGAAAATCTGGTCTCGGCCTCAGATGGCAATGCCACGGTCTGTTCACTGTCCACCTGATATATACTGTCCGCTGTTGTATTGATGCTAGCTAACATAGACATTCTTCTGGCAAAACGGCAAACTACACATTCATAAGCAGAACTACATTTTTTTGACATACCCGGATCAGATAGTAGTCTCGTTTGAAACCCACACATATGGAGTTCTCACACCAAGCCATGGACTTGGGAATGTCTGGAGCGGCGAAATCCCCCTGCAATAGTGACCAAACATGATTTAGGCTAACATTATGGCTTACCAGCAATCTTTCATTTCTGTGTTTCCAAGCCTCAAGACCTGTAATTCATGGAATTCTCTGTCCTTCCAGTAATACAGCAGAATTTTCCTCTTGACTGCAACACACATGCGCAGTCTGGCCTCACCTGAGCTAGACTGCTGAAGAAAGAGAGAGAGAGAGAGAGAGACAAAAATTTTAATAAGAAGTCAGATGTGATCGCTAGGTCAAAGCATTAACGAACAACTGCAATCACTTGCCATAGTGATTCTTTAACCTACCTGCAGGTCACAGGCAAACAGTGTGGCTCCTCTGGCTTTGGACACAACAGTTATCTGCTGGAACGTGAGCAGGTCGTGAACGTGGATGTTATTTTCTGAAACAAAAGAAGGCAATGATACTGCTGACACTGAAACTACACAGTTCCTTAAGATGCTTTACACTTACACCACATCAATTTGATCTAGGATACAAGTTCCTCAAATGCAAACCACAAACGAAGCGATATGACAATGACTACTTTTACATGCACCCTCATAATGTGATTATATCGCGATTAACAATTACCTCATGTAAAGACAATACTTTGATCAAATTCATGCGTTGAGCTCATAATCGGAGTAAATTATGCAGCATATGCCAATTTTAATCGCAATAAACAGGCATGTAAACACCTCTAATCACATCTATACCACTCTGACTAAAGTGTGCATGCGTTTGTGCTTGAATGAAGTTTCCCTCCACTCCAAATTGCTGAACTTTGTCAATAAAACATGCTGCCACCAGTCTCTGCTGAATCTTCATTCAGAAAATAATGCGATGGTCAGTATAGGCAAACCCAATTACAGCAGCATTGCTATCACACTTCAATGTTCATCAATGCCCCTAAAGAAATGTGTTTTGCATTTGATTAAAGTAGATTAAAACAGTGGCCAGTAACACACCTACTGCATGCGAGTTCATCATTTGTGCTGTGCATCGGGGTATGTGAACAATGGCGGTAAAAATAACCACACTTCTTAGCGAATAATCAGAATAATGAAAATCACATGTAAACGGGAGGTTTGTTTGTGTCATGCAAACATTTCACTGGGATTCATTCCTTTTCATTATTGGAAATAATCACATTATTGGTGCACATGTAAACTGAAGGATCTGAGTAGTCATTGACTAAACAAATCTGGAAAACATACTTACCCAACAAACTAATCAAAATCTTGTACTGTGACACCACAAAAAGCTGAGAGGAAATAGAAAAACCAATATTAGAAGCAGCAATCAACACTTGTTCCTTTAAAGATAGTTCACCACAGTCATCCTGTCATTATTATTCCACCCTCATGACGTATGTAAATAAATAAAAAAATTATAATTATAATAATATTTTTGAAGGACCTTCATGCAGTTTGCCCATAAACTCAAACTCAAAAAAGGACCAAAGAACACCATAGTCAATAGTCTTTTGAAATCATATGATAGCTCTGTGTGGGAAACAGGCATAACATTAAGTATTATTCATGGATGACATAATAGAACAACATAATGGCGTGTAAATAATGACAAAATTTGGCTGAACTAATCCTTTAATTGGATGGACTTCTCTATCTGTGCATACCTGCTGAATCTTCTTTGAGAAGTTCTTATTGGATTTCTCTAATGTAACTTCAAACCTGTTTGTACCTGTAAATAAATTGTATTATTATTATTAAAAGGCATTGTCATTTCAGCTTAAAAATAAACTCCACAAATGACTGAAGCTATAAGCACAGGTGCAAACAAAAACTATGCACCTGCATCTTTCTTGATCCTGTACAGAAGGAGATGGCCTGGTTTGGTACCCACAAGGAGCCAATCATCTGCAAACACAGTATGATTATCACACATCAGTGACACATGGCAGCGTTTTAAAAATGAGTTCATAGTAGTACAAACTAAATTAAGAGGGTCAGCTCTAGTGGTCCAAAAATTCTAAAATTGCTTGACCACTTTTATTTATCTATCAATTTATTTTTTACCTCAATGTATTGGTTTTGCAAAATCACTGTCATTTTATTCATGTATTTATTAAGTAAAAAAAAAAAACTGAAGCCAACTGAATCAATCTATCTATCTATCTATCTATCTACATTTACATTTAGTCATTTAGCAGACGCTTTTATCCAAAGCGACTTACAAATGAGGACAATGGAAGCAATCAAAACCAACAAAAGAGCAATGATATGCAAGTGCTATAACAAGTCTCAGTTAGCTTAACGCAGTACACGTAGCAAGTTTTTTTTTTTAATAATATAATAAATAAAAAGAAAACAGATAGAATAGAAAAAGATTAGAAAGCAAGTGTTAGTTTTTTTTTTTATAAAGAAAACAAGCAGCAAATGAATAGAGTGCAAGTCTAAAAGGGACAAGTTTTTTTTTTTTAGAATAAAATTAGAATAGAGGGTGCTAGAGTTAGAGGGTCAAATAAAGATGGAACAGATGTGTTTTAGCCGATTCTTGAAGATGGCTAAGGACTTGGATTGAGTTTGGCAGGTTATTCCACCAGGAGGGAACATTTAATTTAACGCGCGATCTGCGCATGATGTACGAGCTACTAGCTGCGTCCCAAATGACGCACTTATACACTATGTACTTATACACTATGTACTTATGCACTATGTACTCAATCATGTAGTGTATGAATTATATAAGGTTATTGTGTCATTTATAATCGGAGTCTGATAGCCTCTCCCCCTTCGTTACGTAATTAAAGCTGCGACAGTTGAGTGCATGAAGTGTCCAACATTCCACACTTCGTTTTTTCGGTTAAGTGCATCATCCGGGTGTTCAAAGTGCACTTTTTCTTTTTGGAATTTTCAGTGAACGCACTATCACACTATTTATACTACAAAACGTCACAGAATAGTGCATAAGTACGCGATTTGGGACGCACTTGGAGGTGTGACGTGCATTCTTTTTATATAGATCTATCTATCTTTCTTAGCGATATATCCTAGCGTTAATCATGCTAGAAACATACTAACAACATGCTAGTAACATGGTAATCATGCTAGAAGCATGCTAGCAACATGCTAGCTACTTGCTAATCATGCTAGCAAACATCTAAGGGGTCGTCAATGCTAATCATGCTAGATACATGCTAGTAACTTGCTAATCATGCTAGCGACATGCTAGTCACCTGCTAATCATGCTAACAACATGCTAGTAGCATGCTAATCATGCTAGAAACATGCTAGCAACATGCTAGTAACTTGCCAATCATGTTAACGACATGCTAGTCACTAGCTAATCATGCTAGCAGCATGCTAATCATGCTAGCAACATGCTAGCAACTTGCTAATCATGCTAATGACATGCTAGTCACTTGCTAATCATGCTAGCAAAAATGCTAGCAACTTGCTAATCATGCTAATGACATTCTAGTCACTTGCTAATCATGCTAGCAAAATGCTAGTAACTTGCTAATCATGCTAGCAACGTTAGTAACTTGTTAATCATGCTAGTGATATGCTAGTCACTTGCTAGTCATGCTAGCAACATGCTAATCTTGCTAGCAACATGCTAGTAACATGTTAATTATGCTTCAAACATGCTAGCGACATGCTAGTAACTTGCTAATCATGCCAACAATACGCTAGTAACAGGCTAATCATGCTAAAAACATGCTAATCATGCTAGAAACATGTTATCAACATCTGTCTAATCTATCTAAATGTTCAAACTTCGGGTTTTTACAACTGCTTTAAACTTCCAGGCTAGGCTTTCTCAAGCCAACCTAAAGTTTGTCTTGACTAACTTTTTTATCTAGTTTAATTAGTGTGAGTGTGTCTTGGGACAAAAACTGATCTCTAGAGCACATTTCAAGGTACATATATGTGAACATACAGAAATATTTAGCACCTTTAAATGTCATGCAATGATTGTTCAAAGTTTCACTTTTACTCTGGACAACTTGAGATGAATTGACCCAAGAGTCCTTTAGATGGCTCTAATAATCACACACCCTCAATATGTACCTGTACAAACCAACCTCATAAATCTCACATATGTGGAATTAACACTTGGTTTAACTGTACTTTACTGAGCTTTCATTTCCCTTATACTTGCTTGATTGAATCTAATCTAAACATGTACAATAATACTACATGTTCAACACCTTGTAAGCTGCCTAACTAATAAAATAACTCTTGTTCTTCAGAATAGTTGTCTTTTCTCCAGCTATGACTCAAAACCAGGTGTTTCTGTCTAACTAGACAGTTGTTTTGGACATCACAGGCCTGTTTCTAAGTCAGCTGACCAGCTTCTTTTTTTTTTTGATAAGCAGCTCAGCTCATCAGGTTGTGATACATAACCAGAGAAAGGTAATTTGATCAACAAATATTCAACTATTCGATCCATATTGCTCAATAAAATCTGTCTAGGTAGAAATACTCACTAGACGCCCATACATAGTATGTAGCCAGCTAAACAGATTTTGACACACAGCAAAGAGAAAAGCTTTTTGGAAATTCGCACAACAACTCATTCCGAGAATGCTACAGTACGTTTGCAACTCACGAGGTTTTTGAGATACAGTCATTATCAACGAATGAAAAGGTGTTAGCAGTGATGCTCCACATGAGTGTTAAAAATGTACATGAGAGTTGAAGGAAAGGGAAGCAGAACTCACCCCAGGTCGCCAGACAGTCAATCTGGAGGGGTAATTTCTCCAGGATAGGAACTGGCTCGTATGCGTCATGCATACTGGAGCTCTTATGTACGACCAAACACACTTAAATAAATAACCCAAAATGCTAAGATAGGAAACAAAACCACAGTACAATCTGCTGGCAGAACTATCCTGACAGAACAACTGTAAACAAACAGAATAAAAACAAACCCACCACTACACAACAGTTATAAAGATCGTTGACGTCTTTGTTAACCAGCTCGACTCTCGTCAAATGTCCCAGAATTGTCCCACTCCATCCTTCTTGAGTCCAAAAATAAGTGAGGAAACACTGAGGCTCTTGTGTTTTGCTGTGTTGTTAATGTGTCATGAGCAGTTGGCTAGTATATAGCTTTCATATTTTGCCCTTTAATCTTGCTAAAACACAGATCCTCGATGCTCAGATTCCAAATGTATTTCATCCCATTATCCTGCGCGATGCTGAGGTTTATTTCGGGGTTTACTGTCCGCTGTTTTGAGCTGATATCCGCCAGGACTCAGTGTTTGACAGCTAGTCAGCTAGCAGAGAGCTTTCAGTGCTGCGGGAACTTCCTGCAGCCGTGACGAGCACGTGACTGCGAGAGCTCACAAGAGTTCCATTAAAAACAGCACACGTGATCCCACAGATGATTGACATTCCACACAGAAATCCTTTACACTATAGGCTACCTTTAGTAAAGTCTGGCCCTAAAGGTTCTTCAGACTCTCATGTTTTTGATAACACTAACTTATTTGTTGACCAAAGTCTTTTCAAGAGTTTTTGGAATAACATAGCCTTTTTAGTGATATAGAATGGGAAGATTTTTGGCTTCTTCAACAAAAATTCTTCTTATAAAGTTGTTGAAGTCTCTATTAAAATGATCCATAATTTCTACCGGATAAATTATAAACTTGCTAAATTTAATAATAGTATTTCCCCAATTGCTCCTTTTGTCTTCAGTCTGAAGAAACAATCAATCATTTATTTTGTGCTTATTGTAAAGTGTTCTGGGTTGACTTTTCCAATTTTCTAAAAAAATAAAAATACAAAAATAGGCTATTTATGTCCAAACTTCTATAACCCCCCAAAAGTGTTTTTTTTTTTTGGGTTACTCCTTGAATCTCGAACCTTCTCACTTTAAATGTATTATTAATTTATTGATATTTCTAGCCAAATTTTACATTCATAAATGTAAATTTTCAAAGAAAACTCCTTCCTTTTTTTGTTTTCAAGAAAGATTTTGATGTGTATATAAACTCTTTAAGAAACTCTAATAATTTGATTGCATGTAATGTGAGAACAGAACAACTGTGTTTCTTTATTTTTATTTTTTTATTTATTTAATTTAATTTTAGTTATTTATTTTTTGCATTTAAACAAAAATACAGTGAAAGTCAATGAGGTCCATCAGCTGGACCTACGCACGTTCTTCAAAATATCTTATTTTATGTTCAGCAGAAGAAAGAAAATCATACCGCTCGAGAGTGAGTAAATTATGACAATTACAATTTTTGCATGAACTATCCCATTAAATGTTTTGACAAACATAAAAGGATTTTGAGGCATTCATTTTGGTATGTACAACTCAACAATCACTTTTTGTGATATTCAGAGATTATAGTTATTTGTTGTTGTGATATTTACAAAGCCACTGAATTATTTAGACTGCATGGGTGGAACTCCTGTTGAGGCAATAAACTCAAAATATAACACATTCTGATTTGTACTTGGATTGGCAGCCGTTTTCATTTTACTCAGGGAGGTGGAGCACGGAGCACAATAAACCAATCTGATTTCATCTGTCCTCCCCCTCAGAGTGCTGCAGTCTGCTTCCGAACGCTGTGTGAACTGTTCAAGAGACTAATAAATCCAGTAAATCTAGTAAATCCAGTTGACATTAGCTTATTAGGCCTAGTGCAGTTTGAAATATAGATACTTTAACATGTTGCTGGTCCCTATGATTTGCACGCCACACCGAAGGGAGAAGAAGCTCGTCGGCTTTGGTTAAAAGCCTTAAACTTAAAGAAACCACCGAAATTTCCGTACGTTTGCTCTTTCCACTTCGTTGATGGCAGACCCACGGAAAATCATCCATTCCCCGAGAAACAATGCTCCAGTGAAGACTCTGAGGCGACGTCTCGTCAGGATATATCCACAAACAGGTACTGTATGTTACAGCTTCTTGTTAAGTTATGTGCTTTAACAAAAGACATTGTTTAAACTATTTCTTTATCGATGACACTCCTATTGGGCATGAATAATATTTAGTGCTAAGCTAAAGTTGTTGATAGCAGTAGAAACCTGTTACAAAAAAGCGCATAGGGGGATAGCTAAAATAAAAATTCTGTCATTTACTTACTCTCGAGTTGTTCCAAACCTGTGTTCATTTCTTTTTGTTGCTGAACACAAAGGAAGATATTTCGAAGAATGTTTGTAACCAAGCACATCATGGGTCCCATTCACTTCTATAGTAGTAAGAAATAATTCTATGGAAGTGAATGGGATCCGAGAATAGTTTGTATATTAACATTATTCCAAATATTCTCCTTTGTGTTCGGTAGTCCAAAGAAATGTATACAGGTTTAGAACAACTCGAGGTTGAGTAAATGATGGAAATGTTTATTTTTGGGTGAACTATCCCTTAAAGCCAGGTACTGTGATTGTATTGAATAAAAATACCACTGTACTGCGACTGAAACACCATGGTGCCATGTACAAAATACTTTTGCTACTTTTTGTAAATAGGGGGTGGAGAATTGATCAGTTTCTCCTGAGCATCTGACTGACTTCAGTGTTGTGTTTTGCAGATGATGAGCAAGGTGACCATGAGACCGCAAATGGAGCCATTGCAGCTGCCCCTTCAGTACAGTGATGCCTGCACTCAGTGGGAGCTCCAGGCATTGACAGACCACACTTATGCCTCCCGGGATAAAATAATGTTACACAAGGCATCCCTGTCCTGGATGTAAGGCTCCAGAAAGTTTAGAATGGACATAAACTTCCACCTCCGATTGCCTCCTGCTGCCCCTGAACCTGACCTCTTTCTCTTCATTTTTCTCTCTTTTATATGTGTGACGTGTCCCTCAGATACTTTGGGAAGTCGTGGCCTAATGGTTAGAGAGTTGAGAAAAAAAAACGTCAATAATTGCAATTTATTAAACAGATATAGCAGCAAAACAGATATAGCATCAAACGCTTTGGTGGACACAGGACCTAAGTGCAGTTATGCACGCTTGTAAATCATCTCATGACTAAGTGCAGAAGCGATGTAAATAAGAGATTCATTGTGCAGTTTAGAGCTTCACTGATTATAACAGAACTTTGTAAGATCCCGATGAGCAAAGATGAGTTAAGCTTTTTAGAATCCCCCCATATCCCCATTAGACATGTGCCGGTATTCGGTAATGCGATATATCACGGTAATGAATATGCACGATATTGTTATCGTGGGCACTTCT